AGGAGTAGAAAGCCTCATGTTCTCCTGTGGAGTGACTGGTGGTTTTTGAACTTCTGACCTTGTGGTTAGCAGCTCAATCCATAATCACTATGCGATGGTGTTAACAAAATTGGATTTCCATTTGCAGAAGAGTGAAACAGGGCTCATACGTCACTCCATAAACAAACAAACAAGAACTCAAAATGGGTTAAAGACCTAGTATCTAAATCCTAGAGCAATAAAAATTATCGCTAAAAAAATAGACACAGATTTAGGGACCTTAATACACGGCATTACCAAACATAACAAAAACTAACCAACATAACCAAAAACTACAAACAAACATAACAAAAAACTAACAGAAAAACATACACAACAGCAGGCAAATAGAGAACTGCGGCCTCTTAAAAAGACAACGCTCTTTAAAAACGAGAAAGGAAAAAAAAAAACACTTACGTGTAGTAAAAGACATCACTGAAAGAGTAGAGCGAACCCTCAGGTTGGGAAAGATTTTTTGACCGTGATCTATTAGACAAGGAACTAATCTTGAAAATCATTAGGGAACTTCAACCCCTCCCCATGCAGAAGACAGAGTTCACAAAAGAATACATTCAGGTGGGCAGCAAAGATAGGAAGCAATGCTCCCAATCATTAGTAGTTAAAACAGTAGTTAAAACAGAGATATCCTTTCCCCTCCGAGTTGATAGCAAAGTTCAGAAACACATAGACCAGAGACTAACCAATGCTCGCAGGGGCGAAGAGAGATGGGACCCCTCGTACACTTTTGGTGGGAGCGTGTACAACAGTGCAGGCCCTGTGGGAGCAGCAGTGACGGCCACCTGCGAGACAGGCTCTCGGCCTTGTTGCTCGGACTACAGATTAGAAGACTGCACGGCCTGAGAAAAGAGGCCTGTCCTCTTCTTGGGATTTAGCCTTAGAGTAGTGGGCTCGTCCAGAACCTGGCCTTTTGTGACGAACTAACTTTCCTCAGCGTGATGGTTTCCAGGTCCATTCATGGCATGAGGGGTTCCGTGGTTTCACTGTTGTGGTTTTTCAGGGATGCGTAGTATTCCATTGAGCGCATGTCCCAGGGTTCATTCATTCTTCCACAGATCGGAATTTGGGCTTTTGCCAGCTTGCTGCTTTTGTGAACTATGCAGCCATGGATGTGGGAGAGCCTAGATCTGTTCATGTTCTGCCTGATATTTCTTTGGGGTGCACACCCAGCAAAGGTATGGCTTGGTCAGGTGGTACTTCTACTCCTATTTGTTTAGTTAGTGCCATATCACTTTCCACGTGGTTGTACATATTTACAAGCCCATCGGCAGTATATAAGCATTCCAATCTTTCTGCACCCTTGTCAACATTTGTTCTGGTTTTTTATTTGGGCTATCATTGTGGGTATAAGGTGATATCTGCTCCCTGTTTTGATTTGCTTCTTCTGAATGACTGGTGATTGTGAGCATGACCTCACGTGTTTCTTAGCAATTTGAATGTCATCCTTGTGTGTATTCATGCCTTTTTCCCACATTTAAAATGGATTTTTTCCCACATTGAGGTGTTGTAGAATTCTACAGATTTTAGTAACTAGTCTGTCCATTGTGCCATAGCTAAAGATTTCCTTCCCAATCCATGGGCTTTCAGCTTACTCTCTTGAGGAAGTCTTTTGCTGTGCATAGGCATCTTGTTTTCAAAAGGCCCTAGTCATCTATCTGGTCTTCCACTTTGTGTATTTCATTACACTGGGTAGTCTGCGTAGGCCCAGCAATAGGGCCCTTAAGTTCGTCCCAATTTCCTCACTGATGATCTTTATAGCTCTGAGGTTTACATATAGTTCTCTAATCCATCTGGAGTTTGTTTTTTGTGAATGGTGTGAGTATGGATCCGGTTTCATCCTTCTGTAGAGGGAGTCCCAATTTGTCCAACACCATTTGTTGGAGGGTGCTCCTTTCCCATTCAAATTTTTTTTTTGTCCTTTGCCAAAAATCAGGTGGATGCTTTTATTTCTGGGTTTTCTATCCTATTTCCTTGGTCTGTGTATCTATCATTGTACCAGTAAAAAGTGAAGCTTGGAGTC